AAAAAAAAAAAAAAAAAAAGAAGAAGAAGAAAGAAAAAGAAAAGAAAGGTTACATTTATAGAAACCATTTTATCCTGAAGGAATCTGCAACTGCTTCACAAACCCTATGGTTTTACTAAATATAGACTAGAAACATAACCACTTCTGGGTGCACTCTACTGCAGCTGCCTTTAACAGCAGGCAACTACATTTCACAGCAATCAAGAACAAAGTAAAGAAAAAGATATCGCTGCCCAAGAAACCACAAAGAAAATCTAGATAATAACAGTGAAAACTAGAATTTCATATAGATAAGGTATGTTCATTTATTTTTTAAATACATGAAAAAAGAACGTCAGATACATATGGCAGTTCACCTTACTCAAAGCCCACTCAAGTCCTTCACGACCACCCATGTCTTTCAATCAATGGCAAATGACCCCTGAAATTTGGAGGTGAGAGATTTTGAAGAACTACTTTATTCCCTTGAATCCAAGAAGGACTATAGCTAAACCATCCCTTATTCTTAAACTCCTACAGTGAAGTGGACACAACAACTGTCATTCTTTAATGCTTACTGTTTCCCTCATATTCAAACCGAGTTAATAGCTGAGATTAGATCAAGCACGTATGAAGTAACAAATATTTCTGGAGGACTTAATCTTTAAATGTTAAGGTTTTGTTAGAACAAAGCAAGCTGTCTGAGGCTCCTTAGCTATGATCCTGAGCATGCTTCATTTCTCTGTCGTTTAGCCAAATAATATAAAGATCAGAAAACTTAGTGCAGAAAATAGATGGATTTTGTATATTTATTAGTGGTTTTTTTTTTTTTTTTTTTTTTAAAAAAATTTTTTTTTTTTTTTTTTTTTTTTTTTTTTTTTTTTTTTTTTTTTTTTTTTTTAAGTAAAAATACTCTGGGAAAGGAAACAGTAAAGTAACTATGGTGAAAACTAAGAGATTTATTTTTCTCTCAAATTGCCATTTCAGTAAGACCCCGTTGGTAGAAGCTTCGGAATTTATATTTTGGTTCTACAGCTACTTTCCTCAAACGATAATCTGTTAACCTCTGAGACCCTTAGTTTTTAATGAAAAAATAGTAGAAACTCAAAAATATTACTATGGTTGCCTTTCTCCCAAGATTCAACTCCAGATTTGCCTACTAGAGTGTTTCTGAAAAGACTAAACCTACCTTGTGCAAAATGAAAATTTTTATCCAGTTTCCCAACACAAAAGACATAATGAACAATCCTGCCTTTCTTTTTACACTTCCTCCAGCTATCTCAGTTAATCCCCCTACTGAACCAAGCCAGATACCACATTCCCCCACTGACCACATAGGCCATATAACTTTGATCACAAAATTCAGTTGTTTACACCTTGGAAAACTCTCTGAAATCTCGCAGCTCTTCTCTTATCTTCACAGCTATTGTCAGTGAAAACCTTTGTCTCTGGCTTAGAAAGACAGGTCTAGTACCTGTCTTCCTCCAGCCCCAAACTACAGGTGTCCAAACTCAAATCTGATTATGTCTTTCCTAATTTTAAAATCTTCAATGATTCCTTAGTACCAAAGAGTAAAATTTTAACTCTTAATTTCAACTCAGTTGTTTCTAACACACCCTTTTCTCCAGCCACTCTGAAGATCTTCTCCTTTCCTAGCATGCCCCATGCATGCATGTCCTTGGGTTTTTGCATAGGCCCTTTGCTACCCTGTATTGCCTCTTCCCCTGCTCCTCTCCCCTCCAAATGGAAAGTTCCCATTCATCCTTCAAGACTTGACTCAACTGTCACTTTCCCTTTGAAACCGTATCACTCCCCCAAATTTATGGCTCCCTCTAGTATATTACAACACATTTTCATGTTTATTATATAGAACATATCACTCTGAAATGTAATTATCTATTTAAGTATCTTTCTCCCCCAATAAACTATGACATTTTCCAGAACAGGAATCATGTTTTATTCATATTTGCATCTCTAGTGCCTAAGATAAAACAGGTGCTCATGCTGAATGAATGAGTACTAATGATGATGACAGGCTTCCTCAGTTATAAACTAAAAAGCACATCCTCACAAAGAGTAACATTGCAAATACAGAATAATACTCAGATATATGTCACTCTGGCTGTCAGTACCTAAAATGGGTCAAAGAATCCAGGTCTGGCACAAACGATAAATTCAACAATTACAAGGACCTGAGTTTCCAATCTGTGACTGTACCATCTCTAAGTAGGTTGACAATAGTATATCTAAAAAGTAAAATGACATATTTTTCTGGTACTGTATCACAAGAAACTGTGTGTATACATATGAGCAAAGGATACTCCAAGATGAGCAACAATAGGGATTTTTAAATTTTACAATGATAGCAAGGTCTCTAGTATAAAATGTACAAGAGGCTCAGTAATTTTTATTTCAATTATAGTAAGGATCAGGCTCTGACTGAGGTATCCAAGGGTTAAATATCATTTTGACAGAGTAAGAACTAATGACCAAAGTGCTTCCGCTAAAGTAACAGAGTGATAAAATGAACTGGAAGGTATGTTGAAAACTGCATGAGAAAGCATCTAATTTTTAAGCACATAAATGTTTAAATCCTTCAGTAATAAAGATCACCCTATGTCAGTGTCCAGTGTTCTATTATAAGTAATGGTAGCAGTAGCAGTACTAGTGGCTACCATTACGGAGTGATCATTGTATGCCAAGCACTAAATGGCCAAGAACCTTAAGTTAATCCCTTCAGAGTTAACTCAATCTTAGTATGTATAAATACATTTACTTTCCAGAATAAGAAACTGCAGTTCAGAGAGGTTAAGAAGCTTAACCTCACAGAGTTATAGTTTAATAAATGGCGGAAGTCAGACTCAAATCCACATTTCTGACTCTAATGTTCACAGCCTTAACCATGATATTAACAATGATGCTCACGACAACACTGCAAGCTCAGAAAATTAGAAAGAAAAATTTTTAGTATATTTCCACCTCTCTAAGACAACTAAGGTAAGAGTTCTGTATATTGTGAACAGCTTATTTGTTTTATGTGTTAAAATACCGCTCTGTAGAATGTTATCTTCATGAAACTAATGAGAATGATATATCCTCATCAATACTTTGTAATCTTTAGCAAGTTATTTAATTTTTCTGGTCTTCAGATTCTTATAGAACTCAGGGTTGGAGGCAGCCTGGCATTGATCTCTAGTATCTTTTGCAATAATTTTGTCACTAGGTGGATATGAAATCACTTCTATTTTAATTTATGCTGATTTCCTTCTTTTTTTCTGTCTTCCACAGACATGAAAGCCATGTGCGGCAAAGACTAAACCAACTAACTTTTAAAATAAAATCTGAGAACAAGGTCATTTCTAAAATAAGATACCAAACCAGGTGAAAGGCCAGTATTGCTCTGAGAAGAGACCAGTAGAAAAAGAAAACACTCAGCACTAAGAATCATTCTTGTGCCATACTATGAAGAGAACAAAACTACACAAGGAAAATCAACAGGCTTGGAGTTGATGTTTAGTATAACATAAGTACATTCAATACCAATCAACCAAGATAACTAGAAAAATGGCTCTTTGGAAAACAAAAGGCAAAATTGCAAAAGAAAAAAAAAAGTTTCTACAAAGTTCACTTTCTCCTGTGGGTGGAGTTTTATGAAGCCCTCAAAATGGCAACTAGATTAATATAAAGTGGTCACTGACTGCCTGGCTATTTATTCTTTCTGGCCCTAAAATTTCATAGTCAATCTTAACATTTTGAAAGAACAGAGGAATTGCTATTCTTTAGTTTGGGAAGAACTTATTCAGCACAGGTCTGGCGTGGTGGCTCACGCCTGTAATCTCAGCACTTTGGGAGGCCGAGGTGAGCAGATCACCTGAGGTCATGGTGAAACTCTGCCTTTAAAAAAAAAAAAAGAACTTATTCAGCATAAAATTGATCAGCAACTTTCCCTACAACCTTCCCAAACCACCCCCAACCGCTGTATCACTTCTCTACTGTTAGTTTAGTAAAAGTTCATTGAACTTAAGTGAACTCACAGAAAACCTTGAACTGGATTTTAAGTCTTTGCCAAGTGGTTTTCTCAACATTCAGCAAATGACCATCTATTTTACTACTGTTTTGTGTTCACCAGATTGTTAATACTGTGACATATTTTGCATTCATTATTTCTATATACCTAACAGAGTGGACTCCTGATATCTCGTTTTCAGTTTTCCCCTATTCCCTATCATGTAATACACTTGGTGGGAAGGGATTATAAAAGAGATGCAGCCCTCACCATTTCAACAATCATGTCATGTCAAAATGCCTTAGGCAGGGTGCATTCTAAATTCTCAAAATTCTTATTTTTATTGCCAAAAACTTGTGCCAAATAATTTCCTTTAACATGTTCTTCTTCTATTTTTTTAGCACAAAAACCTGAAAAATAACATGTTCTTAATACTTTATTTGGAACTGAATTTGAGACCCAAGCAAAATATAATCTTAAGTGTATGATGAAACTCAAAGTTTGACGGAGTCTGCCAATAATCCTGCTAAAGGAAGTGGAAGGTTAGCTAATCATCTGAGGAGATGACATGTGAAAAGAACATTCAAACAAAGCAAACACCAACACACAGGTCCTAAGGTAGGAAGGAGACTGACATTTTTAAAGAACAGGTGTAGGCCAGTAGCAGGATGAGTAAGAGATGGTGGAAAGGACTAGAACAGGTAGGGCCTTCCTTGTAACCATGGTAAGCAGTGACCAGATTTTATTTGATATACCTTGAAATATATACCCTCGCCTCTTGAAACATTTAACACTATTTTCCTAGTATTCTCCTAGTTTCCCTTCTAAATACTGCTCTGATCTCTATTTCTGCCTCCTATTGCAGACCACATTAGCTGTTCATTAAGCATCAGCATTCCTCCAAAGTCACTCCTAGAACCTCTAATTTTTTTCACTATACTTTTCCTTATATGATCTCCCTTGGTCAATCATTTCAGTGAATTAATTACTGGCATACACAAATTTTTGCCTTCTAACTAACCCTTTTCTCTAAGCTCTATAAGTATACATCCATCTGTTTACGTGGTCCTTTCGCTTGTCACAAACTGAACTCATCCCTCCCCGCAGCTTCCACTTTGATTTCAGTCTTCTCCCAAACTTCCTAGGCCAATCTTCCCAATATGCTCTTTCTTTTCCTGTTTGTTCGGTGAAAAACCAACATGCTCTTTAGTTACACCACGTATTACTATTCAGAGCACCTTTCAAAATAAAAAATAACATCTATTGATGTGATTACTTAACATCTATCTCCATTAGATTGGAAATTTCATGAATGACTGTATCTTTTTTTTTTTTTTTTTGGTTCATTATGGCATCCTTATCCTCAGTCTTAATTTAGTGCCCAACACATACAGTCAATATTTGTCAAATAAGTAAATAATTCATTTTCTATAAAATATGCTGATCCCCAAGTTGCATTTCTTTTAAAGAGATAGGGTCTCCTATGTTGCCCAGACTGAACTCCTGGTATCGAGTGACCCTCGTGCCTCAGGCTCCCAGGAAAGTGGAACTACACATGCACACTAGGGGCACCCAGCTTCCCAAATGAACATTCAAAACAGCAATGAGATGGGGGTAAGGGTAGAAGAGGAAGGTAAATAGAATATCTATTACTAAACAAAAAATCCTGCTGTTCTGTGAAATTATTGTTCACAGACGGCACTAGACAATAACAACATCAGTGTTTTTTTTTTTTTTTTTTTTTT